ACATAAAAAGATATCAAAACTTGAAACAAGAGCATGAGCATGAGCATGACCTGAGAACAAACATGGGTAAGTATTGAACAGATGCTGAAGTGATGAAGACAAGATCCTTAAATACAAACAGGGCTGAGTGGAAGTAGGAAACAGCTGGGTGATTACAATTAAAGACAGATGAGTGTGGCAGGCTGGAAAAATACAAAGAAGCTGACTGAGGTAAACATGGCACAGGAAACTGAAAACAGGAAATGAGAAAATAAGACAATACCAAAACAATCTGAAAAATACTACCAGAAAATAACCAAAACACAAGAATCATAACATAACACACAAGAATCATGACATTAAGCTGATCTTGGTTTAAAATACGGGTATAAATCACAATACGATGTTTGTTTGGATGACAATGCTGTGTGTCTTTATATCACAAAAATATGCTGTCATGCGATTTTGATTTGAATTTAGTAAATGATTGTATTAGATGGACATGATATCAAGCTACATTCAAAAATGGATTAAGATGTTTAGGCTTCRAACTGTCCCTGTGCTCTGTGTCCATCTTGAGTTTTACTTCCTCGTTTCTACCTGAAATTGGTCCGTTTTTGACCCTTTGTTCTAAAATAGCTTCCTTCACTTCTCCTYCTGTTCACTCGGTGATCAGCTCTTCTGTGGCCAACAGCAGCTGTGTCTGTGTGAAATACAGCTTCTTATTTCTCTCATGAACTCCCAGCCCTGTCCTCTCTGCTCCTGTGCAGCTGAGTGTAAAATAAGTCATAAACACACTGAGATCATCAGGTTGTTGGCATGGTGTGCAGCTCATTTGAAAGGTGGTGTTTACAGTGTGGGTTGGAGCTTTGATTTGTTCTCTGACAGGAAGAAAAGTATGCAGTGTTTCACCTAGCTTTAAAGAAACCAATATGAATCCTGTCCCAGATGACTCACAGTCCTGCTGTTTTTATTTTTCCTCCCTGCAGATAGAACTGGGCCACGGCCACTCTGGATCCTCGGTGTACCCCAACTTCCAGGACCTGAAGATCTCCCAGACGCACCCGCCCCCCCAGCCGTCTGACTCTCCCTTACACGTGAGCGGCGACTGGGAGACCTACAAGGACCACGGCGGCAGGYACTACTACTGCAACCGCGCCACGCAGGAGAGGACCTGGAAGCCGCCCCGCATCAAAGACGCCAGAGAAAACCGGCACAGCACGGGGGAAAGCTCCGAGGTGAGGCTCCGAGGAAAGTCTGGAACAAATTGTTGTAAACAAATGGTGGCGGGGAAACAAATACTGTATTTAGTTTCAGTGAAGTGTAGTATTCTGAGCTCCTCGTCCTTCAGGTTAATATTTAAACTGACATAAAACCTGAGGCGAGTGTTTGACGTGTRATAAAACCGAGGCGCAGTAAAGCTATAAAACAGCTGCAAAATAGTTGAAAACGTGTCCTCGTATTTACAGATGGGGGTTTGTTGATTTCATTTACCATGGTTACCTCCTCAATACACGACTCATAACGTCTCCTTGAACAGGTGGGATCAGAGGAACCGCCTCTCACCTGAAAGTTCCTGTCAGAAAAAAAAGCTTAGCTTTTTTTTAGATTGATTTAAATAAACTGTGGTCTTCAAAGTGCCTTAGATCCTTCAAATACAAAAATCAAAATAACATTCCAAAGTAAAAAGGAAAAAAAAAAGATTTCATGTGAGCTATTGATGCTCAGAGTATCTGGTGGGGTTAACTCTCAACTACTACCACACCAAACGTCTGCCTAATACGTATCTAAAATAAACTAAGGTTTAGCTCTTTTTGTGTTTGCTAAAATCAGTTAAATTTGGCGGCCATCTTGATCAGGTACTTTCCAAAAGTTAACTGGATGTTAATGAACATCATGTATAATCTGTCCAGTAGTTCATGAGATATTTTGCTAATAAACAGACGAACACACATGATCGCCGCAGCAATAAATGGTGAACCAGTTAYATTTTACACTGTCAAACTTGTCCTGGTTTATTTTAATTTTATTTTCAGTTTTGTTTGTTTTTGTGACGCCAATTAACAAAATTCATCTGAGGGCTCTGTAACTCTAATAAATCGTTTTACCACATTTGTTTCATCTGACAAAAACTAGGAGAATCTAAGTTTTCTTTGACAAGCAGCTCATTAACATCTAGTTGAATAAATAAAATAAAATCTAAATTTGGCTTGTAAGGTTTTTAGACTCGGCTGGTCCTAATGAGACAGGTGCAGCTCTGATCAGCTGTGATTTACAACTTGTAGAATCTGCATGTTCAGGGTGTCAGAGTCCCTGCTGCATTAAACTGCTGCACCACACTGCCACCTACAGGCCAGCATCAGTAACTTCAGTATGAGTCTGCTTCCAGGTGGCTCCTCTGGTTCTCTGAGCTTCATCCAGCCGGTGGTGGGCGCTTCTTTTAAAAACGTTCYCCTTGTTTCTGGGTGTATGACTGTATTTCTGCCTCATCCTCTGTTTTCTCCTCCTCTGTGCTGTTGGTAGACCACTCCCCTCTCGCTTTCGCCGTCTTTCCTTCCCTTCCTGTCGCTCTCCAACGGTCGACTCCAGCCTCTGTCTTCAGAGGACGCCTGCTTCAGTACCTACTCTGACCAATCAGCCGGTCACTATGGGTCCACGCTGCGTGGCTGGTCGGAGGAGATGGACGAGTACGGCCACACGCTGTACATCAGTGACTATACTAACGAGAAGGTACCGACTGCACCGAGCTTCTGTCTTTACTCAGGTGTTTGGTTCTGCACGGGGAGCAGATTTCAACTGGTTTCATGCTGAATTGATCTTTTCTTGTTGTGCATGACTCTCATGTTGGTTTGCTTCACTTTGACAGTTCTGGGCCACCTGATGATGAGAGGATTTAAATCAAGTTTAAAACAGTTTTCTTCTCTATCATTAAGTGAATAAAGATAATGTGAAGGTTTTATAAARTATAATTACTTCTGYTCTGTTTTAGATTTTTGTTGATCAAAACRTTYCTCTCATTCAGGAGGTTAACGCTCTGACTTTAAGTAAATGTAAAATATATTATTTTATTACATTATTATATATTATTATTTAAAATATTTAATTCTATTTACAAATATTTCCCCTATAAAAATACTTCAGAGTCCTTCAAAAACTTTGTTCCTTTTGAAATCTGCTTCAGCAAACTGGCKKTTTTTGTCTGCTCATGCTACTTTAGCTTTTAGCTACTGTTCTTCTACTTTTATCCTCCATTGTGCTTACCTACCATCATTCTACTAAACACCCTTTAGCTGTTTCTTTACTGCTTTTAGTTACTGTGCTGAAAGCTTTTATTTTTAGCTAGCCTTTAGCTACTTTTAGTCAAGTTTTTTTGCTATATTTAGCAGGCATATTGCTATTTTTAGCAAATGTTCATTAATTTCATCTTTTAGCAGATGTTTTATTTTTAGTTGCTGTTTGAGCTATTACCAACATCGTGCTATTTTAACATTTTAGCYACTCCTTTACCACTTTTAGCTACTGATCTTCAAACTAAACTTTTTAGCTAGCCTTTTGTTATTTTAGCAAGGTTTGCTATATTTAGCTTGCTAATTGCTAATTTGAGTATTTTTTAAATTAATGTCTGATGGTGAGGTTTTTTGTTTCTTTTAGCTTTTAGCTACAGTTCTGCTACTTTAATTTTTAAATAGCCTTTTGCTACTTTTAACTATTGTTTGGCTACTTTTAGCTTGCATTTGTCTCTCTTTAGCTAGTGTGATTCTTTCTGATTTTAGCTACTATTCTGATATTTTTACTTTTAACTTACTTTTTGCTACTTTTAACTATTATTTGGCTACTTTTAGATAGCATGTTGCTCCCTTTAGCTAGTGGGATTGTGATTTTAGCTACCATTCTGATATTTTTAGCTTGCTTTTTGCTACTTTTAACTATTGTTTGGCCACTTTTAGATTGCATGTTGCTCCCTTTAGATAGTGTATCGCTACTTCTGTCTTTTACTAACATTCATTTCTTTTAGCTTTTAGCTACTGTTCTGCTTTTTCCCCCCTAGATTTTTGTTACTTTTAACAATTGTTTGGCTTCGTACAGCTTGCATGTTGCTCCCCTTTAGCTAGTGTATTGCTTATGTAAACATTTGTTCTTTTAGCTAGTGTCCAGTTTCAGCTTCTTCAGATAGGTTTAGCATTTGAAGTACTTTTCAGTGTTTAAATTATGGCAGTTTGAAGTATTTCTGTAGGTCGGTAGGTTTAGAAAATGTTGCGTAAATAACAAAGAAAAAGAGGACTGCCACCATTTATTCTTTTCTGGTGCGTCTCTTTGTACCACCAGTGGTTAAGACATGTTGACGACCAGGGAAGACCTTATTACTACAGTGCTGACGGCTCCAGGTCAGAATGGGAGCTGCCCAAGGTAAGATGCCAAAATAAAAATAGAAATTCATCAAAAAGGAAGGTTTACTGACAGAGCAGCTGCAAATACACCGAACACACAAAATCATCCCCAAGTTCAAACTTCTTTTCTTTAAAATGTCATGATGATTTCAGCATTTCTTCCAGGACACAATTCAGCAGCTGATACCTGCTTTAAACAGGGTTTTACTAGGTAATAAAATAGGTAAACATGGTCTTAAAATTAGTTTATTTCAGTTCAGATTCTCTTTTTTAGGAACAAAAATATTTGCTTGTTTTCAAATAGTAGCCAAAATGTCAAATGTTTTTGGGATTTATAATCAAAAATCACCTTCAAAAAGCTTCATTCTGAAGATAAAAGCTAAATTCTTCCAGTTAAAAATGAACAAAGCAACCTTATTTGTTTATTTTGTGTTCAAACTTTACCTGCTTTGTAAAAACCAGCGTGAGCAAACAATCGACGGGAAGYTCAAAAGACGACCGGCTGCTCAGGTCACAAAAAAAGGGCGAAGAAATAAAAACCTGATTTACACTCTGAGGTGTTACTGATGAATTTTATTTTTTGTTGAACTTGAAGCATTTTTGGGAAAAACAAGGGAATTTAAAAATGGCCGATCCTTCCTCGTCTTATTTTCTAAACATCTGATTAAAAGTTAAACATTAACCATTTTAACTTGGATATAATTATATATTTTCTCCCCCCTGCAGTATAAACTCTCCCCACCTCAGCTGCCTGGAGACGGGCAGAAGTGTCGCAGTCTGGACAGGAAGAACGTGGAGCCCATCGTTTTGACCAAGTGGAGATACAGCACCTTCGTCCAGGAGCCGAGCGAAAAGGTCTCACAGAAATATCACAAAGTCTTTTCTATCAGCCTGATGTTTGCCTGATGTCTGGACTTTGTTCCGTATAAAACTCGTCTGTTGTGCTAACCAGCATCATGTTTGTTGAGTCCGTGTCGTCACTGATTTCCTTTGCAGCGGCTGTTAAAAACCAGGCGTTTCCGCTCCGGCTCYGCCCGGCCTCACCCGTACAAACACCAAGTCAGTAGAAACAGGAAGTGATGCTCGCCTCTTTGAATCGAAGCACACGGTTAATATGCATGAACAGAATCACAGCAGGAGCCGTTCTTTTATCTCTGTGTTTACTCCTAAAGGTGGTCTCTCACTGGGACCAGACAAGTTGCCACATTCATAAACCAGGAGCAACAACTCGTCTCCAGCACTAAAGCTGGTTTATTTCTGCACTGGACGAAAAAAAGAGAGTAGAGATTAATTTAACCAAAGTTAAAATCAGTAATAATAATAGCTAAAATTTGCTAAACTGTACCTAGAAGTTAAAATGACCAAAACTGGTGCTAAATGCTAATGTTACAAAAATCATTGATAAGAGTTAAAATTAGCAAATATAGTGACTAAAAGCTAAGAAAAACAGACCACATCTAAAAGCTAAATATAGTAAAACAGTAGCTAATAATTAAATTAGCAAGACTTTAGCTACAGGCCAAATTAAGCAAAAGAAAGGCTAAAAGCTAACTTTTGCAAAACTCTGGATGAAAGCCACAAAGAATTGCAAGGTCACWGCTAAAACTTTAAATTTCAGCTAAATAAAGATTACAGATACAAGCTAAAATAACCTATCCCATATTACAAAGCTAAAATGACCAAACCCGTAGCAACAAGCTAAAATAGGCAAAACAGTAGATACAAGCTAAAATGACCAAACAAATATCATCAAGCTAAAATGACAAAACCCACATCATCAAGCTAAAATAACCAAATGCATAGATACAAGCTAAAATGACAAAACCCACATCATCAAGCTAAAATGAYAAAACCCACATCATCAAGCTAAAATGACAAAACCCATATCATCAAGCTAAAATGACAAAACACATATCAACAAGCTAAAATGACCAAACACATATCAACAAGCTAAAATGACCAAACACATATCAACAAGCTAAAATGGGTAACTCAGTAGCTAAAAGTCAATAAATAATAATGTATTTTGAGACACTGACTGGTCTCTAACTGTCACAGTGGGATTCCACCTGAAGTAAAACATTGAGTTGATTGAAACTTGATTAAGTCTAATTAGTTTTATTATCTGGAGATTTTTACAGCACATTRAAATAACTCAAAGAAATAAAAGTGACTCTGAACACTTTCAAAGTCTCCTCTGAAATCTTCTCCAGCATGATTAAAAATCCACTCGTGTTTCCTCTCCAACACTCAGGTACTTGACACACTCGCTGCTAATTACATCACTCCCCTCCAGCCTGGGCGTCTTTGAAAACTGCCTCATTACCCTGATTTTATGTGCCTATGTGACTGTTTATTATTATTATTTTTTTTACCTCGTCCCTTTCTCCTCAATAGGAAGCTACTCAGGCCCCAAAGTCCCCCTCTGCTGACTCTGACTCCTGCTCTTCGTCTCCCAAGCACCCTGCCTCTGTTAGTACTCACCACTAACCTCACGTTAAAGCTGCAGGGYTTTAACTCGCAGAGAAACAGGTGGCAGTTTATTGCACAGTTCCTCCACAGGATGGAAAATCCTGCAAAATCTTTCAAACCAGCGTCTCTCAACATATATACAGTATATACTCGATCCTGTGCAGGAACTGTTTGGTTTTTGTTGAAAGGARAGTAATGTAATTGTTGTTGCATGGTGGGTTAATGATCCATGTCTATATTCTCTTACGTTGCTCTGGTTTGTTTAAATCTTTGTTTAATCAGCTGTTTTGTCCAGGGATGGGTAATTTAAAGGTTTTGTCCTTGAATCCAGGAGCTGCTGCTGGTGGTGTTGGGTTTTTTTCTGGCTTTTCTTTCAAAAATTGAGTAATAAATGGTTTTTTTTTTTTTGTTTCTCAAGGTTTGACAGAATCTTTCTGTGATGTGATCCTGCTGCAAGTGTCAATCAGTTTGTTTTCATTTGGTTGAGCAAAAGGGGATTTTTGTTGTTGTTTAACACGGCACTACGATTTGTTTCCTTGTTTTCCTGCAGCCATCTGAAAAGTGCGGCATCCTAAATGTGACTAAAATCACTGAGCATGGCAAGAAAGTTCGGTGAGTACGGATTATGAAGATGGATGTGAGAAAAGTTGTTTATTATCACAATCAAGGATTTTACCTTTTATTTGTTGTGGTTATTACTTTAGAAAATCATCGTTTTAACCATTAATCTATTTCAAACAATACATTTTTAAGTTTGATATAAAAATATAAGGTTTTGTTTTAGATTCTTGATTTAAAAAAAACACTAAATTTCTAACCACAACACTCACATGCAGATTAAACTCCCTCCCCTCCCTGCAGAGGGTGGTTAGTCTTTATTTACGTGMCTCACAGAGGAGTCATATGCATGAACCTGACTGGGTATAGCTTCCTCCACCCCTCTTTCCAACCAAAATATGAACATTTTTGTCGTCCAAAAAACATTGTTTTTTGAATAAAGTTTAAATCTGTGTTGATGTGAATAATTTGAACTTCCTGCAGGAAGAACTGGACTTCCTCGTGGACCGTCCTCCAAGGCTCATTGCTGCTGTTTGCCAAAGGACAAGGAGGTGGGACCAGCTGGGTGAGTGCTTCTTTTTTCCCCTTTAATCAACTCTTAAAAACTAAAAAATGTCAAACATTTCCACAGAGCTTTCAGTTCAACCTTTGTCCCAAATTGAAGTAAAATAAAACATTTTTTTTATTTTCATTCAAAGACGATAAGCTTTCACCTCCTCTGCTCTTTTGTTCAAAAAATAAATAAAAATCATTTACTGGTTAGATAGGACGTGAATCACAACAACATCCAATTATCAGGAAAACAAAACAAGAAGTGATCGAACTATTACAATATTAACAGTGTTTACTTGTTATTGTGTGTAGCTGCCAGGATCCACGCTCTGATCAGCACACACATCGCTGTAACTCCTGACTTTCTTCCTTTGGTAAAATCTAAACTCTGACAGCTGAACTCAAACTTTGACTCTTAAAATAAGCAAAACAGTGGATCCAGCTCTTTTGACACTTATTCTCCAGCGTTTTCATCTTCACCTCAACAACACAAGCTGTTAGTGCTGAAACAACCAGACTGAGTGTGGTTTTCTGCTGTCTGTCCAGTTTGGAGGAGGTCAGTCCAAACCGGAGTTCACCGTGGATCTGAAGGGAGGATCAGTGGAACACGCCTCCAAAGACAAGTCCAGCAAGAAGAACGTTCTGGAGGTGAAAGAAAACATAGATTAGACCCGATCTGTGTTTATTTTATTAGTTTTATGTGTTGTTTACATGTTTTCATGCATAACTAGGGAATCTGAGTGAGGATGTTTAATTCTGAAAAGCTGCAACTAACATTTTAAAAGTAGCTTAAATTGCTTAAACTAGCACAAAGAAAACAGAATGAGCGCATGTTTGCTGAATTAAGCAGTAAGAAGCTGAAATTATTGCAAAAAGGTGAATTAAGCTGAAAAAAAGCTGAAATTAGCTAAAGTACCGGTATATAAAAACACACAGAACAGCTGAACTTAGCAAAAGACAGCTAAAAGAAACATAAAAGTTTAAATAAGAAGAAAAGGTCAGAATGATAGCTAGAAAAATCGGCAAAATAGAAGCTGAAGCTAAAATTAGCACAAAGTTGAAAAAAAAAGGCAGAACCAGAAGAAAAGGTCAAAAGTGAAGTAAAGATTTAACCTCTTCAGCAAAACAGCATTTCCCATTTTCTATTTCTTTTAATGTCTGTTTTCTTCAGATCTGTCAGTTGAACCTGGACATGTTTGGTATCAGTAGAAACCTAAGTATCTTGGCCAAAAGCTCATGGAAATTGTTTTTACATCCACTAAACACAGTTCAAACAAACAGTTGAATCAGAATTTAAACAAACTGTACAAAATTGCATCATTGCAAATCTGTAAAAAAGATTTTTGACGTTTTTTTATAGCAAGTCAAAGCAGATACCTAAATATGTTGTAAAACCTGTTAAAAGTTTTTTTTACTTGATTTTGAATGAATGTGGTCCAATTTAAGTCAAATATAATTTCTCATGATTTTATTTAATATATGTGGTGAAAAATAGATGTTTGGATCATTTTTCAAAAGAACAAACATTCAATAACGAGTCTTTTAAGGCAGGTAAGAAAAAATAAATAACTTTTGGACGTAAAAACATAAGATTATTTAACATTTATTAATGGTATCATCATGGTCTGTCC